TTATTTTTCTTTCGTATCTTTGATGTCGAATATTAATTAGTTCAATGATAAAAGAACTACTCACTTTTGCTGACATTGTTATTATATACGACCAGTTTGAAATACTACTGTTGCATCATTGTTTATATGCATAAATTTTTTGTTTCTACAGATAAATACAGCAATCTATATTTTAATATTTAATTAATCATCTACGATAAAAATACATCCCGTGAATAAAACACGGTTGACTAACAACCAAAGAGAACATTCTTCATTGTGGAGCACATCTATCATTGCGCAGGTACCTTCTATACCAGAGTTGCCACAACTATTGTTAATAAATCATAAATAGCACAATTGTAACTTACCATGTCAACATATGTGACATACATTGTTATGTCTTTAAAATATATCTGACAGCATTTACTTTATAAATCTGAAGCCGATTGTTATTCTTCCCACTTCTGTAATATATACATTTTTATATATATAAGATATAATATACATTTCGTGTATAAATAAACAAATATATTAATATTTTAAAAACTACTTATAAATATTTATTAAATAAATATTTAATTTTTGCTAAATCTAAAACATACAGAATACATATGTATATGTAATTATAAGTTAGTATACAAAATAAATAGAAGCCGTTAACACCCTTTAATGTTAAAGCTGAATAGTTTAAATTGAATAATATATGGTCAATGCAACAGTTTTAAAAGACTTGAAGAGAGTGGTAAGAGGTATTGCAAAAATTTTTCTCTTAAAAATAATATGGTATACAAGAACAGAAGTCGAATTCAATATATAATTTTAAAATATGAATATTTATTTAGCGAAAATATTCTAAATTTGAATATTGTAAAATTTAAATTTTACAGATATTTATATGTATAGATATGTTTGTATATTATCCATATATCAAAATATATTATGAAAACTTTTACTTAAAGTGGTAATTGCCAAAATTCCATATAGTTAAAGCTCTCAACAAAGATTTTTAAAAAAGCTTTATAAGTTTTGTACTTCTTGTAATTTTAATGCTTACAACCGCGCACAACAATCAGAACAACGGTAACACTATATATTTGTTTGAATGTGGTTTGCCATACCAGTGATGCAGCTGCTATTGGTATTGCTGCTGTTTGCTGCTTGGTTACGATTCGCTAATAATTAAATCAGAATTTTGTAAATGTTTAAAGTTTATGGTGAAGATGATTATGTGTATGTATTGCATTCTATAAACGAGTATTTTAAAGAACAAATAATAATAATTTAACAAGTAAAAATACTTCATGATAATAGTGACTAAATATTCAGAAAATGTTTCTGAAGTTTTTAATAATATAGAAAGTAGAAAGGCAGAATAAGTAATTTTATTACTTCATACTGAAATTCTTATAGCAACAGTGATATATTGTCATTAAAAAACATGTAAATTTAAAATGGTAAGTTTCACGCCTTTTTAATTAAAACAATTATCAAGTTAGAATTTATTAAGTACAATAAATTGAATCTTTTTATTTTTACATTTTGGAATTAAAAATGTGATTGCACATCTTACCTGCAATACTACGTTACTAAGCCAGCTTATTATACGTTATATGTTATATTATTTCTTCAACAAATAGTTTAATTTAGTTTCCTTCTATATATGAAGTTTTAACTGGAATAATTTTATTTACCATATCAGACACAATATTATAATCATTATTATTACCAATCATCATTATAGTGGTTAATCATTCGCAAAAGGAAGGTCGAAAAAATCAGCATTGCAAGAAATAGTATAATCATCATCATGGTCTTTCTTTTGTACCACTCTTTTCCATAGCTTTGGCTTTTTTCTTGCATCTAAGTTTTCAGGGATTTTGGTTTATACATTCTCTTGCAAAGTGGTGTCGGAAAGCTTTCAAAAGCTTTTAATTTATAAGTTTTATATGGAAACTCTTACGAAGTGAAAGCATTCATAACAGTTTTCTTTAAAGGAAGAATATGTATGTATATTTCAGAAGCAAAAATCATATTTTTCGTCGTATAATTAATATTTTAACTATGTGCATTAAAATATTCCTTTTGAAGATAAATGAAGGGAAAAGAATTTTAGTCGTTCGCAATGTACCAACTCGTACGGAGTTGAGCTCAAAGTTGTAAAAATAATTCAATATAGAAGAAGTCATTAAAAGTACTATTTTGCTTGCAAAATACACTACTAAAAGTTATATTGGACGAAAAATTTTACATTATTTATATGATTTAACGTTTATTAAATTCATCATGTTATCGGCTTAGTAGTGACGATTTAGTATGAAATAGATACATGTGTCGATAATATTCAACAATTTGTTTGTTAAACTCCATTAAAATCAGTGACTAACTTGTGAGCGCTTTTTGTGCTGGATCATTCCAACTGTCAGGTTTTCACAAATTTGCAGCCCAGAAGAATAATCACCTCTTTCACCCCATGATGATGGATCGTATTTTAAAAAAATCGGAACAAATTTCCAACCAAAGCAAAAATTGCATGTGAAATTGCCCCAGGAATTCGAAACTGTTTGAAATTTGGATCATCTCTGCCAATAAAAAGGGGAAAAAGCTATAATAATTCTTTATGATCTAATCCATCTAATCCAAAACTTCGATGTCACTCATGCTTACCACGTTTTTCAAGGTTTCATCTTAAGCTCCACTTTTAAAGTTCTTAGTATCGTCATCTCTCCATTTCCGAGCAAAACGTTCAAAAATTTAAATTTCTGGAGCCGATGAGCTACCAGCATTCTATTCAAAAACAGCTTTTAAAAATATTTCTCTGATATGATGCTTGAGCAAAAACGCGGCACTATTGTGAATACTAGTATTAGAATTAATTGTATTAAAACAAATGAATCCAACTAAGATGTCTAATTTCCAAGTAATTAAAAATTGATGAATTGCATATACAATTTACTTACCAGTGCTATTATCTAGTTTCGGAATACCAAATATTTTTTCGGTATTTTCTCCTTTAACAACAAGAGCAAGTCGTTCAACCTTTCTTTTACCCTTCATTTCTGGTAGAAGTTTTCCATACCAATGAAATAAAAAAGTTAGAGGGATCTGCAATCGGATACACTAATGCAACTTAAAAACTGCAAACTTTAACTAATATACATCGAAATTCTTTAAAATATCATGCGTTTTTCTTCATCGGTTTTCTTTTCTCATCAGGTGAACAGTTGTACGTTTGAGAACAATATCTTTTAAACGGCCTAATGCAGCTACTGTTGCCCTTATGAATCGCATCTCTTGTAGAAATTTAATAGTTACCCAAGCAAGGAATCATTAATCATCATATCATCAATGAAATCTGTTTTTACTCCTAAATGACTATCTGGTTTTCTCATTGAAATGTTTTCTTCCATTGTTGCTTGTGGGGACGATAAATATTCTACAATATCTTCATCATTATACCTGTGCACAATACTGAGTCTAAAATCTCTCGCTACTACTCGAAAAATATATTTTCATGCATGATTGTTAAAAACAAATAAATACATATTAATCATTTATTCCTATATGTTATTTCCTTAAACAAATACTTTCCATATATTTCGGTTTACGTTTACCAACTTTCACCAATAGTTCTAGCTTGCGCATTTTCTCTTTCTGATAATTTTTTATTAATACCTGCCGTCTTTCCTGGTCGGCCTTTCTGTATTTGTTGAATCATGAAATCTTTATCGTTTAGGATTTTCATTGCTTCAAGAGCAATAGGTGCTGCGATATCATATATAAAGTTTTTTTATTTTTTCACAGAACTCTTTTTCTTTAAATCGGCATTTTTCGTACGTAAATTTACTACTTTTTTGTTATAATCGCCGTTCATCGTACAGTTTTTGTAATTTTTTTTTGGAATTAGATTCAGCTAGAAAAAGAATACGAACCTTTTTCCAAAATGGTTGTAAGGAACCAATCACACTTCTAAAACTTTCTTTCAATGTATTAAATTGAACACGAAATTTATAGAAAAGAAGTTGAAGTACTTGCTTCATTGAGATTTCACTTTTACATTTTCCAATTTAAAGCACATTGTCATCATCGAATCTAAGCCGCTTTGGAGATGATGTTGATTGCAAAAATGAAACAGAATCCATTTATCAAAGAATTATCAATTCAGTTTAATTTTCGCGACGCAGAATAAATATTTTATCGTTCAATCTCTTTCTCACTGTCAATTTGACAGTCAATAAACAGTTATAATAACAATGTTGCAACTCAGGCTTCGTTTTACGAAATTCATACCATAGTTGCAATTTTTACTTCCTGTCAAAAATTTTGTAGGAAACTTAAGCAAACGTAAGTGAATTCAATATCATATCGTAAAAACATATAAGTAATGTGAATTAGTCAAAATTTTTTCTTCAAGTAAGACTATTAGTAATGTATTATTCAAGCAAAATAGCACTTTTAATGATTATTTCCCTATTATGGGTTAACCATTATTAAGTATGTATATCATGTATATTTTAAATATTCCACAGTTGACACACAGAGTTATCATCAACATGTGACCTGTAATTATTCACACATGATTGTCTTTTGCTATGAGTACCCTGAAGATCCTCCTTTAAATAGTCCATGCGTATATTTTGTGAAGATTTAGTTTTATCCTTCCATTCGTTATATTTGAATGATTGTTGCATATATTATTTGTTCACCGCAGACAATGACGTGTAGTTCCAAAGAAAGATGTACAGTAATCCATTTTAATACAGCTTAATAGAAAAATGGGTTTAAAGCGATTAGGAGACCACTCTCTCAGTAATATCATTTTAACCATGTTAGAAATAAAAAAATTTTTGTAAATATAAAAACAAAAATTGCACTTTACCAATTCTTTAGCGATTCTCTTAAATTTTCATTACCTAAATAAAACTTTAGCTGTTGCCTTAGTAAAATTTAGTTCATCAGGATATTATAATATTTGATTTAATTTAAATATTTATTTCATTTACAATGTTTTCATACTAACATCAATAGTATTAAAGTTATTAATATAAGTATTAGGGCTATGTTATGCAGAGTGTCTCAGGCACGGCATGAGTACAATTGTTGTTGTTTTTAATGCAAATTTTAAATTTGAAAATGAGAGAAAAAACAATAGAGCCGTTCAAACTCCGGCATGAGAGCCGGCGTATTTGTGCCTCGACACTAAGGCAGCACAGCCTTTTTTTATAAATCGCTAATAATATAATTATTACACTTTCCGATTTTAAAGAAATGCGTAAGTACTGTTAACAATTATTATAAGATAATATAATAATAAATTAACATTATTACAGCCTCCATGATTTTTTTTGACTGTTATTTTTGGTAGCAAATTGAAAGTGATCATATTTAAATTTCCTTTTAAATTTAGGCACAATCAAGAACCAAGAAGTAGTAAAAATACAAAATTGGCAATACTGATGTGACACTCTGCATAACATGCATTTTCGACATAGCCCGAAAGAGCGAATTATGCCGTGCCCGAGACACTCTATATAACATGGCCCTTACAATGTGAATGCACAATGTTAACTTAATTGATTTAAAACACTTTTACATCGCGACTTTAGTGAGGGAGGTCGACTTTAAGCTTGTGGAGGTGTGTTCAATGAAACGCTTGCGTTTTTGTTTTAAAACTCAAAAGTTTTTTTTATCATATTTACTAAGTTACAATAAAATTAATAAATTAATATGTTCGCTTGTCGCCTTTTCTCTACATACTTTTTCTCTTCTAATAGCAATGTTCGTATTATTCACTTGGACGTTCGTTCATGTACAGGGATGTTATATGACCGCCACATCACTCCCCCTTACGGTTGAGTGTGAAATGTACCTCTCGACCATACTAGGATACATAGTCTTTCATCAACTGTTTGGTCTTGCCATTATCCATGTGTCGTTTACTCGATCAACGTCGTCACTCACGTTGCCCTGAGAATCATTAAATATGAAAGCTGCTTTCAATCGGTCAACGCTGATGTTGCTCTTTCGTCCATCTACGTCGATTTTAAAAAATTTTTCGATTCTTTCAAGCACTGGATACGGACCTTCGTATGGCGGTTGCAGTGGTTTGCGAACCATTGAGTTCTGAATAAACATGAACGGTGATGTTATGGCGTTCATGTGACATTATACAAAAAGAGATGCATACTTTGAAAACTAAGAAATTGACAGTCAGATTTACATGCATATACATTTTGATTAAAAAATTTGAAAATCAAGAATAGAACATTGAAAATTAGAATCGAATTTAATTTTTATTTGTAAAAACTATCAGAACAATTTTCAAACTCTTAATAAATATTAAAAACTCATATTAAGAGACAGCATTACCACAATGTGAACAGATGTTTTTCAAAGAATGTCTTCTGTTTTGCATGATTGGACGTACTTGTTGGTTGTAGATCCCTCATTCCCTTAAAAAATTCGGTGACATCATTGCTTTGCAGTGTTTTATTGCCTCGTTCAGTAACAAGGAATGCACCTGGTAGCCGTAAACTGTAGCCGAAGGTTAACTGAGCTCAAGTAATAACGAAAATCTTTGCACACGAGTAGAGGTCCGAGTAAATCGATGTTGACATCCTCGAATATTTCTACGGAGTTCATGAACTCTGCGATTGGTGTTTTATTATGTCGATGTGTTTTCGATCTATGGTATGGAATGCACGCTTTAGCCCAGGTATTACAGTCTTTCTTAATATCAGACCAAACGAATCTTTCAGCCATTAGCTTTTTAATAGCTTTAATTCCGGGATGATTGAGTTGAAAAAACTTTACGTAAATTTTTAGTCACAAATGGACGTATATCTCTTGTGGAGATATCGCAATATACGGAAGCATTCGTTCCAGGAATATTGAATGACTTTAGCTGTAACGCGGAATCTGGTCTAAGAAACGATTCAAGCTCCTCGACTTCGTTCTGCTGTCGAGCAAGTTCTGCATAATCAATTGTGTTGTTTGCGTGAATAGTGTCGATTCGTCACATAGCATTCAGAAACTGATTCAGAAACTGCCCGATATAGTTCAGCTGACGAGCTTGTATGGGTGCATATCTGTTCAAACGCATGTAATAGGGGTTTGTGGTCGGTCAGAATCGAAAACTGACGTCCTGCAAACATATGCTTGAAGTGTAACTCCCTGTCGTATGTACTGTACTTTGGAATAAAGTCTCAGTAGTTGCAAGTTGTTGTTTATTAGCTGCTGTAGAACTGCACCTGTTGATATGTTTGATGCGTCAACCGCTACTGCCAGTGGTGCTTCAGATTTCGAAAAAACTTTAGCTAGTTGTTCTTTGCATTTTTTGGTAGCCTTTTGCGATTCATCCGACCACGCAATTTTTGTCATGTTTTTCTTTTTACTACTATTTAGTATTTTTGAAAGTACAGCCTGTTGCTCGGCGGCATGAAGAAGAAGCGTTTGAGGTCGCATTTTTTATCTGGCAATTTGTATTCGCATAGCGTTCATGTGGTGGTTTAACACCGTCTTTGCTAACCGTAAAACCCAGAAATTCTACTTTCGGTTTTTCGAATACACATTTCGATGGCTATATGATATGCGGTTCTCTTGTAGCTTGGCAAAAACTTTTCCTAAGTGCGAACGATGTTCGTTTCTCGAAGATATCAATATGTCATATAGATATGCCCAGGCAAAATCAAACTCCCTCAAAATCTGATCCATGAAGCGCTGAAAAATTTGACTCGCATTTCTGAGACCAAAAGTCATAAACACAAATTCGAACATACCGAATGGCATGTTATATCAGACTTTTCGACTGGAATTTGATGGCACGCTCTGCGTAAATCAATTATAGACAATATTTTTTATTCGCTGAGAGTGTGAGTGATACATGTATCCTTCGACCACACCTGGATATATAGTCTTTCGTCAACCATTTGGTGTTGCCATTGTCCATGTCCTTCTTGGCGGTAGGTCAGCGTCAGCTATGTTCGCAATAGCTGTGTGTTTTGTTTGTTGCGGCTGTTCAGTTGCATTGTTTTCAATAATATGTATGTGTTTAGGCTGGGTCATGAAATTTTTAATGTTTTAAAATTTGGTTGCTGACTTTTTTGAAGTGCTATCCAAAACGATTACTAAGATAAATACTAGTTAGCGGTGCTCAGTAATTATAACATCATTTTAAAGATTGGCGCTCTTTCAGTCTTGATCCCATTCATAGTGTTTCCATTATTCGTTACTGATATCATATGTCATAAAAAACGATCATATTTTTTCATGTCTGCGAAATGATTTTTTTCAAGGCTACACTTTGATTTTTGTTGCATTGCGTCTTTTAATAAATATACGTTACATAAGCACGAAGTAGAGCAATTATATTCACATTCAAGTTCACATTTCTTAACTTTTTGAATATCTATTAAAGTTATTTATTTAAATGGTAATATGGAAACATAAACGAATATTTTTCTTGTCAATATATGTATAAAAATATACATACATATGTACAATTTATCGACTTATATTATCATCTATATGAGCGACAAACCAACAAAATCAACAAATCAACACATTTCAGTCCTCAAAGAGCCATCCATGGTAATACTATTTTCCGTGCCAATCCTTACCACTCTGTACTAAATATCACGGAAATAATTCCTATTTGAATTTAGGCCCACAAATAGAAATAATTGCAACTTCAGTACACAAAAATAACAATATGATGGATGATGTAGACAATGGAAACATGAATTTATGTTTATTGTTGATGTTGTTGTTTTGTTCTTTTGGTAGACATATTTCTTTATATATCTATATATGTATATATGTATAAACCTATATATATATTAGGGTGTCATTACGGTATATGGGCAATTTTTTTTTTAAATTGATCGGTTCATTTTACTAAAAAAAATAATGTGTATAAAATTTTAGTTCAATTGGATAAGTGAAAATGGTGCCCCAAGAAAAGATTGGAAAATAACCATTTTTTCCATAAAATTCAT